ATTTGGTCTAACACTACAACTAATCTTTTAAATGAGCTCCAAATTCTCCAGAATAGGTTACGAAGAATTCTTTGAGTCGACATTAAAACACCCATCAAGGATATAATGGATGATTTAGGATGGAATAGGTTAAATGATAGGTGGAAAGAACACCTATTATTACTCACTTTTAAGTGCCTGAAAGGAATTTCCCCATCCTACCTATGTAACAAATTCATTTTTAATCAAAATAGCCACTCTCAGTGCACTAGGAATAAATCTAACAACACCTTGATGGAGATAAAATGGAAACTCATTCAAGGCAAGAGAACATTCTTATACCGTGCAACTAAGGCTTGGAACGAACTACCAAACCAAATTAAAATAGAATTAAATTAAAAATTTCAAAACTTTTATAAAAACAGAAAACTAATTATATCTTTCTGACCACCCTCTGTTCTCTTGCCTTCTTTTTAATTCATTTGAATTGGTTCTTTTTTATTTTAGTTAAGTTTCTGTATATTTTTTTGTGTGTTTGTTTTTGTTCTACTTTTTTGTTCATGTGATCCACTAGTGAGATCAGTGCTGCGTCACTGAAAGTGTTATCACGTTAAAGGCAGAATGAATAAATACACTATTCCATATTTTTGACAATTAAATTGGATTATAATAAATCATTTATGTATTCAACGTCTAAATAGCAAAAACACATTTATTTTGATCTGTGTAAGTATGCCATTTTATTACATGTTTTTATAATTTTTTTCATAAATAGACAATAAGTATTTATTTTCTAAATTTCACCACAAACAATAAATTTTAATAATGGGTGATATAGGAAAACCTTTATTGTCTGAAAGAATTGAATATATATAGTTACTTTAAACATTGACTCATGATCTGTGTAATTAATTAAGCATGCATGTTCAGCAGAAGAATACTTGTGCATGGTAGCATATAGCTCTCATCCATCATTAACTTTGTAATTAAGTACATGAAAATACAACGGGGGCGGCAGGCTGGGGGAAGTAATAAAGAGATTAGTCAACCAGAGTAATGAATAGCCGTCGCATTGACTTAGCATTCGTGTCACACGATGAGTTAGACAGTACAGTGTATGTATATTAACCCCACCCCACACACCTTCCTTGAAGCCATGAAAAAGACATTGTTATTATGTCATCCTTTACATGACTGACTTTGGTGATATAAACCAATTAATTGGTTTGTTAAACTTTATGAATAATGTTTGACCACAAAAATAATTGGTTTTGAAGCAGTCAACTAAAACAATACAGCTGTATCCAAAACCATTTCAGACAGCTACGCTAGCTTTGGCAGTTGTAACATCTGTGCAAATTTTGTAAAACCCCCAAAATAAGCCTGCATCACCAGTTGCCTCCTACCCCTACCCCATTTACTGAAAATCGGTTGAGTTAAAACAAACACTCAGATGCATACACATCAATATACACTTTTACCTTTTTTCGCCAGCTAGTTCACACTCACTTAATCCACAATCCCCCTTAACATTTACACTCTTACATCCCATGTCAATATTTCTTGGCACTTAACTGTTACACTTTAAATGTCTTTCAGCTAAATTTCTAAGTGTTTTAATTGAATTTTAATTATTTTAATATAGTTTATATCAATTCAAAGTTTGTCTGGACCTTTTGATCATGAGAAGCATTTTAACTTAAAAATAAAATTGAATGGTTGATTACCGGTATTAGGTAACTGCATGAACAAAATAATTATTTTCCTTCTTTTTTACCAGATTATGCTTTGGAAAAAAATAGACAAATTTACAACAGAAATGCAAAAAATTTCACATCCTCTTCACTTTATGACATTTAAGTGCTCACCGTAATAAGACTAATGAAATTATAACACTTTAAAGCGTGGGAGTCTAAAATATTTTTTTTCCTGCTATGTTTCCATTTTCCACTATTGTTCACAGCAGTATCAGATGGTTTTCATTATTGCCCCTTAACTTACTACAATATCTACTTGATTTCCATAATGATCGTTTACCTTACTGCTCACTTGGTTTTAATTATGACCGCTTAACTTACTGCTACAATACATTAAACTTTCATTATCAACCTTTACTGCTACAACAACTTAACTTTCATTATGACCCTTAACTTATCATTAACAATAACTAGGTTGTCATTATGCCCCCTTAATTTATTGTAAAAATAACTTTCACTGCAATGCTTAATAGTAATAATAGTTAGAATAACTTGGTTTATTTGACCCTTTGACTTATCGTAATAATAACTTGGTTGTCATTATGCCTCCTTAACTTATTGTAAAAATAACTCAGTTTTCATTGCAACACTTTAGCAATATAGTTATAGAATAATTGGGTTTGACCCTTTGGGCTATTATTACAATAGCTTGGTTTTCACTATGAATTCTTTGTTTGAAGACTTGGTTTTCTTATAATGTATTACACAAGCTTTTGCCAGCAGTCTATGCTGGCTTCACCAGGCACAGTAAAGTTGTACAGAAAAATGGCAATATATATAGTTTAAAAAAGCTTTTATATTCATTGTCATTTACAGATAATTACATAGTTTTTTTAAACTGTACATATTTTAGCTCTTTTCTATACCACTTCACTGCATCAGATGAAGTTAGCATAGACTGCTGGCAAAAGCTGGTGTAGTAAATTATATAAAGTTAGTCAATAAAGCGCTACCAGTGTTTCATTTTTTTAAGTCTACCTGACTAATACAGCTCCACCCACTGTTGGTTTTCTTATAATCGCTTAACTTACCGTTACAATAACTTGGTTTCCATGTGTTTCAAAGTACTTCTCCCATTGTAGCAGAACTTGTCTTTCTTCCTAGTATGCAAGATAAAAGTAAAAAGGAAAATATTACATAAAGTTTGAATAACATTTAAAAAAATACTATACTATAATGCATTATGTTAATAAACATTATATATTAGTATATAATAAAAATACATAAAATATTTTAATTATTAATTTTTAAAAATTTAGAAAAAAGTATGTTTGTAAATCTCATAGAATTTCATCCCAAAGTTTTGGAGGTCCTGACCTTGGCCAGGTTTCAACCAATGACCTCAGAAAGGGCAGCATCTTGACTTTATTTAAAAACAGTTGCATGTTTCTGGTTGAGAAAGATTCTGACCTAACCACCAGTCAACAGTTCCGCTTTATTTTGTTTATATACATTGAAGCTTGACTATCCACACCGTAAAATGTTATGTGACAAATGATTTGACCATACATGGGTATAATGTGACATTATCATGCCCATAAATGGATATACGATACCATCATTCCCATATATGAGCAAATCATACAAATTTGTCACATAAATCTTGGATACAGTACTAAAATGATTCATGAGTCATATGTGGCTATGTATGTCTGTGATCTCATTTTCTAAACTTTAACTCACATAAAGTGAACCTAGTAATAATTCAGTGTTATTTTAAACAATTCTGTGTTATTATTAACTCAGTGTTATTAACATTGTATTACTGTCAACTCATTATCTAATTTGACTATTGGTGCCATTAGGACTTGTCATATGAACTGTATAATTGCTGAGGTATAGTACTGTATGTTGGATGGGTATAAAAAGTGTAAAATCTACTTCAAATCGCTTACTATATATAGATTAATAGTAGACACAGGCCTTGTGATTACGCTCTATATAAGGGCCAACTTGTTATTAATATCTTTATTCTATACTATTTAATTTGTTATCAAAGACTAACCAGTAAACTCTAGCTATCTACGACTCAAAGGATAATCTCAATAATAAAAATAATGCGGATGCTACATCTATCATTGTAAACGACAACACAAAAATTAGTCTCTGCATCCCATGTTTCATCTTTCAAATTTAAGGTAAGATGTATGGGTATGTAGCATTATAGGTATGTTCACCTACTCTGGGTAAGGAGAAGTTTATGGGACATGCTATGCCTATCCTCATAAGTGGACACATAGAACAAAGCTGCAATAATAAGGATATTGCTTTATCATACATATTCTAGCACCCATAAATTTAATCCTAAATGCTTTAGCTGAGTTTGATCTTTGAATACAGTACCTTTATCTGTGATTTAAACTGTGTGCACATTTTGTTACATAGTTGTTGTACTAGCATTGGTTGGTTATCTGGATAATTCACAAACCCGTAGCTATCCACAAAGCCTTCTTGCATCATTGTTCTAACAATGAAAAAAAAATGACACCTTGATAATAATGGGGGTGGGGGAGTGGACATATATGCAATTAATCACACTGGGTGAGGCAGAAGAATGATGCAAACATATCAAGAAAATTTAAAACTATTATCAAAATTCTGTACTGCATCATGGTCTGTGTGGTTTAAAACGTTACATCACAAAAATTGACATAAACATATGTAATAGTGAATTTCATAAGAAAAAACATGATGATTCATATCAGAATAGGAAGAGTAGAAGTGTTTCTTTTTTTGCTTTAGTCCCTACAGAACTGGGTTTCAGCAGAAAGTTTTACACCAGCAAGAGACAGGAAAGCCATGTTTACAAATGTCCGGAAAGGAAACAGAACTTTAAAATGTCAGAAAAAATTATGTTATAATATTTTTCTTATAATCATGACTATAAATGGTTTGTAAGTTCAACAGATTTCATAAAATGTTATGCTTACTTAAAATCTACCAAGTCATCACACATCATTTTGGCTTCACCATACACTTGCTGAAACCTTTTCCATTTCTGTAAAAAAGAAAAAAAAATAAAGTACTCGGCAAGAATTTAATAATTATAAAAAGAAAATGTTTGATGACCAGATTTTGTCCAATAAAAGACAACATTGTTTGAATTCTACTAGCAGACCTAGAAAGAATTAGGAAAACATGATTTTTTTGACTATATATGTGTGAACAAGCATAATTAATATTCCTATAAATAATAAGAACACTAAAATATCAGAGTATAATTAATTATAAAGAATGAATGTTTGTTTTTTTTTAAGGTTTGAGAAAGAAAACATACAAACACAAATACAACAAAAACAATAACAAACAAAAAAAAACCTATTAAAAAGGATAAAAATGACTTAAGGTTTGTCCAATAACAAACAACTTTGATATGCCCATAATTCAGTGTAACATATATGATATCATCATGCCTATAATATTGTATGGGGGACACCACACCAATGTCACATAAAGCTTTATAAAGCAATTAGTATAGTAGTTTTCCCTGGAATAGTAAATTTATTGCATGCAAAAATTACCATCAGGTCCTTTACTTAACTGTGTTATCATTAACCAGATAAAATGATCAATTAATAACAAAAAGATATCACTTTAAAACCTGGTATATTTCAAAATCTATATTTGATGGCTGGGTAAAAAGAGGATTGAGGGTATAATATCAATTGCAATATGGGAAATGATTTGGTACATACCTGACTTTCAGGATGTAACCTGATTTGTGATTTATCTTTGGTATCCAATGACGTCACTACCAAACTGTCCCTCAGCATACACACAAAATCAATCTTGGTCTGAAGCAGTTCTGTTTCAAGCGCTTGAATACATCTAAAAAATATGAACAAGATCATCAAGTTTCTATAAAGGTCCCAACTTGGAAGAAGTCACTTCCGGAAGATCTGGTTAAATGAGCTTTCCTAACATATCTGACTGACAGCATATGGTGATACCCATCGGCACTGTTTTCAGTGAGACAATTGATAATAAATAGTAAAAACATGCAAATATTAATTATGAATTTGCGGAAGATGTGTTAATTTCCGGGAGATTCCTGCAGGAGTGCTGGAGACCGTTCCAATATGGATCCCTGGTTTACAGCCATTCACCAAAGATTTGAATGATCTACACAGTTAGGGTACACCCAAACCACCTATTTTTAAATAAAAACCCACCTGAGCTACAGTATTACAGTCTATGAATGGAGCACTATAACTTAAGACAAGAATAATAGTTTCTGAGTAATACAAGTAAATTGTGCTACATATTGAGCATGAAGATACTTTCAGTTTTGAAATAAAAAAATTGTCATTTGGCAGAATTTGAACCCAGGACCCTGGAGAGAATCCAGGGAGTGGCAATCAAACAAGGCCTCCGTCTTGGTAGCAGAAACAAAAATTATGCCTATATTCCAGGGTTCAAAGCCTCTCCCTCGAACTGCAGATCTTAAATTTTTGCAAACGGTAAAAAACATTGCGGATTTGCCCCTGGGATTGAAAGTGTCTTAACCAGCTGGATTTGATCAACTCAAGGTTGAAGAAATGTTGTAAAAATTAAAATGATTTTTACAATGATGAATCACAATCAATATTTATTGGTTGTCATCTTGTTAAGCTCTCATCTCCATCAATTTCAGACAGTTTAAATGTTGGTTCCAGTCAGCTCTATTAGCTCAGCCAGAATATTGGGATTCTTTTTGATTACCAGTTCTTTTCGATACATTTCAAATTCTTGTCGCCAATGTCTTTCTCAGGAAAATAAAGTAAATCAGGAAATGTGGTGCACATTAAAGGAAGTATATGCCATTGCCATTTATACTGTATATCTCTGCAAGCTTAACTGCAAGAATATGTTGGTTCATGCTCTCCAAAAAAAAAGAAAAAATAACACTCAATCCACCTTTTGTAACATGGCCAGAATACCACTTCAAGCATCACATCTTGTTGCTTTTACAAAGTGTTTATCCTAAAACTCAAATTTTCCTATCCTTAAAGTTAGGGTTGGTGTGCGCCCTCACTATCATCACGAAAATGCTTTGTAAACGAATAGGCATACTACCGGCTAAATAAGCATTGCCTTACTTTTATTTATATGAAATAAATGAAGTGAAGTAAAGGATATAAGTGATGTAAATATAAAAATGAAATACATGAACAAAAATTTAAAAAAATCAATAATATAACTAAAACTATTAAAAATATATTAAACAAATGAATTTAATGATATGAATTGTCTCATTGTTTAATGCTGATAAAGAAAATATATTATTGAATGAAATGTTTGCTATAAAATGAGTGACTTTCCTATCTTTAATGACTGTAGTTCATTTGAAATTTATCATCAACTTATTCATATCAAAAATCCAGAAAAGTATTTCAAAAATGAAAGTTTCAAAATAGAGATGAATCGTATTGAAACTGACAAAGAAATTCCTCATGGCTTTTAAATATGAATAGTGCAACTCAGTAGGTCTCTTGAGTGATGCAGTCAAAAATAATTATTATTATCAAATCTATTTTTAGAAGTTTCAAAAATTATTTCAAACTAATATCATTAAATATTTGTTGAAGCTGCACTCCCTTAAATTTTCAGTATTTTGGGATTTCATTTCTTTAGTTGGATATTTATTAACGATGACTTTATCGGAATAGGTACGCATTTTTAATTAAAAGGGGCATTTTTGCAATTTAAATTAGTGTTATGACGCAGAGCCTGAAATACAGTTTAGTTGGAATGTTGTTGCCATGGTACTTTACGTCAATCAAAATCGTGGCATGGAATGACATCCCTGGATTAAGTTGCTGACAGAAATTTTCATGATTTACAATTAATCGTATTGGAGATTGAAATATAGCCGTAGTTGCAATATTGACATAAGATATCACATGATACATTACAACCAATTATAATCACAGCTTGAAAGAATGTCTTTGGATCGTTTGCTTTATAGAATACACTTGTGGTATTACAAAATTATTCTTTATTGTTGTAATATTTATTATTCATTTATTTATGTATTCATTCAGAAATTTAAGGTCTATATTAGTATTATTTTAGCAAGGACAATTTTTTCCTCATTCTAAGCTTTAATACACTGTCTTTGGGAGGAGACATTTAAGCCGCTGGTCTTATGTATGATATGGCCTGTATGCATGGAATGCCACATTTAAGCCGCTGGTCTTATGTATGATATGGCCCATATGCATGGAATGCCAGGCATTCACTGTGTCATACGACCATAGCATGACGAATCTAACTCCGCTCCAGGTGAGAGACAGATGACGCGATGCCGTCTGAACGGATCGCCGTTAAAAATAATTTGTGTTCTGCATAGAATTGCGTCGACCGACGACAGTAAGGCACAGTGAGTACCCGGGTTTACAGAACACAGTACACACTTTTAAAAAGAGTAGGGGATCCTCTCACGGTGTGCTGCCCAATGAGTGAGTGCCTGGCTTTATAGAACACAGTACACGCTTTGAAAAAGAGTAGGGGATCGTCTCACGGTGTGCTGCCCAATGAGTGAGTGCCTGGCTTTATAGAACACAGTACACGCTTTGAAAAAGAGTAGGGGATCATCTCACGGTGTGCTGCCCAATGAGTAAGTGCCTGGCTTTATAGAACACAGTACACGCTTTGAAAAAGAGTAGGGGATCGCCTCACGGTGTGCTGCCTAATGAGTGAGTGCCTGGCTTCATAGAACACAGTACACGCTTTGAAAAAGAGTAGGGGATCGTCTCACGGTGTGCTGGCCAATGAGTGAGTGCCTGGCTTTATAGAACACAGTACACGCTTTGAAAAAGAGTAGGGGATCGTCTCACGGTGTGCTGCCCAATGAGTGAGTGCCTGGCTTTATAGAACACAGTACACGCTTTTAAAAAGAGTAGGGGATCATCTCACGGTGTACTGTCCAATGAGTGAGTGCCTGGCTTTATAGAACACAGTACACGCTTTGAAAAAGAGTAGGGGATCATCTCACGGTGTACTGCCCAATTTACAAGGAGAAAGACACCACTGAAAATAAGTCTTAAGACTTTTAATAATATTTATTTGACATTCAAGAAAAATACAATTCGCCAGGAAAGAGAATAGGCAATTAGCCTGAACAAAACAAATTTGCACTCTTTCCTCTAACTTTCATTCAAACCAAAGAAATCAATCCATATAAAAAGTAAGTAATTAAATTTTTCTATGTATAAGTATTCAAAACTTAGTTTCATACATAATAGAATCACCAGATACAGTAAGGTACTGTGAAAGGCTGTTTAAACTAGTATCATTGGTATCAAAATGTTATTGAAAGGTAATGGTTAGTCAGCTGGCAAATATGAAATTAAAATTATTATTATTATTATTAGACAATGAAAGTTATGTCTCTAAATGCTGGTCATAAACTTAAGATGGAAAGTTTCTTTTTGTGTGAAAGAACAAGGAAAATCAAATTCTACTTTACAATTTTGGCATTCAGTTGCAAAGATTAATAAAATGTTTAATTTTGTTGATAATTCTGGATTTAGATTACAATAAAAAATCACATTCACGTTGGTCTGTATATACTTTCTTTACATTAAATTAGAGTTTGTATGAAGACTGAGATAGTAAAAAATATATAATACAGAATATGTAGTAAAGAATATATTTACAAAAACATGTCTTCATACACTTTTGTTGCAAATTTGTCAAAAATAAGTAACAAGTAAGTTACTATATATACAGTGTTTTATCTTCCTAGCGCCAATACGAAACAATGAATCAATCGTTTGAAAGGTCAAAGTTGAAAAACTTGTTACGACACTTAATGATAAAAAACACTTCTATTTTGCAATATTGAGTGAGTTTTCTCATTTTCTGACAAAATGTAATGTTTTTCTTTAATTTTGAAATCTTAAATGATCTCGTAATATCTATGTACTTCAAAATACCTAGTGCAAAAATCTTAACCAGAGCTTTTCTTTCATTACCATAGGTGCATTAAGCATGGACGTATACATATTTTGAAAACAAAAGGCTTACAGTAGCACATAGAATCTTCTTTTCAAATGAATTTTGATATACTTATTATTACAACAGAAGCAATACCGGGTTCTTTTAAATACCTTGTTTTTTAATTTACACTAATAGATAGAAAATTTGTTGTTGGCTCCTTCTCAGAATAACCTAGCAGGAAGCGTCTAATTGACTAGTTCAGGAAATACAAAAATGAGTTGACAAGTCAGGTAGCCTACACATATCCTCACTACCTGCTACGACTTCCACCTACTAACACCTGAGCTACAGTCACCTGAACAATCCGCCCAAAGCCCTCGCGTGCTGAACATGAAAGTGAAAATGAGGTACGGGTATCATGATGTTTACAATTATTTGCGACAATTGTACATACCAACTACACGATGAAATCTCAATTTACTTTGTTGAGAACACATGTACTCTTTATTGTTTAATGCAACTTGCTGTAAGAACTATTAATACCAATTTTTGATGTAATTCTTTTCATCATATGGAGTTGATAGATGATAGTAAATTGTTATTTTATATTTGTATTAGGTGATTATTACACATGCAACATATGAATTAAATTTAATACTGTAGTAAATTTAAAGCTGATCTTCACCCATCCATGGTAGAAGAGTCTCTTGGTTGTACATAAATGGGCTTAGCATAAATAAAGTTAATTATTAGACCTTTAGGATTATATTTCATTATCTCCAGTCAACTGCACTTGACACACCTAGCTTATTGATGTATTTGATTTTGATAATCAAAAATTTGCATGTTTTTATATCTTACTGGGTTATTACTATTTTGTCTGTTATATCATGTTCTATGTTTTATGTTGGACCTCACTGGAAATTACTTTTGATTGGCCATCCATAAAAGAAACAATATAAATTTATTGAAAAGTACAATAAAATTCAGACTTGACTGAATTTAAAAATTTGAAAAATATATTACCTATTGTTTTATTACAGCTTGTTTTTACAGTCTTACACAAATTTTATCTTGTATTTTATGGTGAGGAAAAATATTTTAAGTCTGTATTTGATGATTTTCATGTATATTTTTAACTATACTCTACTATATAGGTAAACAAACACAATTTGATAGTATTAGTATTTATGTTTCGTACCTGAATGAATACAATCTACAAATTAATACATAAAATCAATACTTGGAAAAAGTTCAACACAAAAATCGCCTAACTTAAGAATTAAATTACTTAAAAAAAATATTAAAATTGTACTATAACTTGATGTTATTGATGTTTCCATGTATAAAAGTAGATTTTCAATATGATTGAAGTTGCTACTCCTTAAAATCCAAGGATGTTGACTCCCCTGGTTTATGCAATATCTAGCGACACTCTCGTATTTAGGCTCACGCTATCCCCCAGACAGGATGACATGCAGCCAATCCAGCCTACTGTGTAAAGTGATATGACGTATGCTCACTGCTAGTGAAGGTTCAAGCGTGTTAGATATCTATCTGTAGCCTAGGACCATCATACTTATAAACACTACAACTAGGTCGACAGTCATCAACCTCTATGTTCCAACAATCTCTAACATGTCTCCACTTAAAGCTCTATCGAATAATCAATCAATCATATGGAAAACATGACTTCATTTTGTCTAAGTGTGTACAAGTGTTTGGGTGTGTTGTGCATCCTTGGACTATTGAAGCAGGTTGAACTTTAACCTCTATGTTACAATTAATTAAAGTGAAAATAACCTTTAAATATCTTGTATCAAAGATTCTATATAGATAATCCATCTATTACATGGACAAATAAAATGACATCATTTTGTCAAAATGCATGCGTATGTATCCTTGGGTGTGTCTATCTGTGTCTGTGGATTACCAAAGTGTTTTTTTATTTAAAAATAGCTTCAAATGTCTTGTATCAACTAACACTCTCATCTGTCTATGTTGTGGGTGTGGTGTTGCCTCAATGACCTGTCCCTGCATCTGTGGCGTCATTACTGAGGCAAAATCTGAGTCTTCATTCTCACTTAAGATTTAATGGTACAGTATGTATCAGACTAACAATCCATCTATCACAGGGACACCATAGCATTTGTGTGTGGTTTTAAGCCTATATTTGTCTGGGTTTTTGTCAGTACACTGGCTGTCTAAATGAATGTCAATAAATTATATGACTTATGTATAATGTACACAAAAATTGTAAATAAACTTACCGCTTTTGTTTGTGAATTTTTTCTTTGTCTAGTTTTCGAAGCGCAGACTGTTTCTGAACTTCATTGTTAAGGAAGACGTTCTGCTCTTGATACATCCGACACGTGTCCTCACTATCTTGGATACGCTGTTTAGCTGCTTCTAGGTTACCGCCAGGAGATCCTGTATGTCTACACAAATTAGCCAAAACAAATATATTATGTTGTGATTTTATTTTTTTTAAATTGAAGAATAAGAATTTTTATGGAAAGAATGAACTATTTTTTGGCTTTAGACAAAATGTTTAACCCAGAAGCAGATTAACGTAAATTTAACCTTCCTAATTAAAATCAATTCCTACATTATTATAAAACATTAATTGACCATAAATATTCATGATTAAGGAAAAATTTATGAATATTCATAAGTACCATTTTTAATGTAGTATGGTTAGGCCTGAAGCAGTGGCATTTATTTCACACATACCTACCTCAGCTTCACCTCAACCATGAAATAAAGGAAAGTATATTTTTAACACTACAGCCAACTCAGGGAACACCCCTATTAAGGTGACACTTCTTTTTAGTCCCGAAGTGTCCTTCTAATAGGAGTTCTACCGTAGCATTTAACATCATAATATACAAAAAAGATGTGGTCTGACGCCACTTCTCCCCCTCCCTAACCATTTTAGCTCTTATGGCTGAAAAATATATAGCATCAGTGTAGAAATTAAAATTGACAATGAAACTTTAGGCCTAGTTACCATGCTAATCCATCATGCAAGCAAGACACTTTGAACTTGCAATGAATCAAGCATGATGACGTCTTTCAATTGACATCATTAAAAAAAAAAGTATAATCTTGCGTCTGATGCAAACACACGTGATCAATGCTTTTATGAATTTTTCTCCCATGCATGCATTCACAGGTGCATCAGTAAGATCAATACATGTATTTCAACAGAATACATTAAAATTATTTTCATAAATTTACTAAAATATAGAATAATAAAATAGATATATTAAGACATGATGCATTTAATCATTATTAATTTTGTAAAATCCATGTACAGCACTTTACATTGGACATGTAGCAATGTTTAACTGGTGGCGGTCCTCATCAATACCCACAGCTGCCCAAATTAAAATTATAATTCAAAAATACAAAAAAAAAAAAATCATTGATTTATTTTTAAAGAAACATTATAACTCATCATTATTTTTATTAGTATTACTAATTACATCAATAGTGTTTGGTTTTGTACTAAATTAACAAAACACTGATCATAATTAACATTTTTTAAAACCTTTTTATTACTAATACTAGCATACACCTGTGCTCCACAGTGTTAAATGAGTGTGAAAAGTTGGTGAGGCATATAGTTAAATGTTATGGGAAGTTGAGGAGGCAATCATTGAGGATGTTATAGTTACAGTACCTTGTCATTATTTTTTCTAAAGGACCTCTTTGTAGATATGTTTTGTGTGAGTGTCTCTGTCAAATAGTCCACATGAGGAATTGTCCATTTTGATAATAATTGTAGTACAGTACCCTCTTCCATGTCAAAATGCAACATATACAGTAATAACTTAACTCCAACATGTTCGTTGTTTGAATGCGGTGCTGTGGTCTCTGAATACATATGGCTTTAAATATGTGCATGTGGGACTTGCAACGTGCATGTTAGGTCGGGTGTGTGGCACAATGACGCTACAACAGTTATGAGATTAGGAAGAAATCACCTAGAAAATGCGTTAATTTTGCCAAAAAACGCATGTAGGATAACAAAATCGAGTCCTAATATAGTGGATGTTCATCCCATTGGTGGTAGCTACAACATGTGTGAAAATAATACTTGAAATTCTTTCGGAGATATTTGGTGGGTGGAAAAAAAACACTAAACATTATTTTATTAGTATAGATTTTAGAAACATTTCTATATGTGGTAGGGTTAAAAATATAAAATATATAATTATATACAAACTAACTGAAAAAATATTAAACTATTTAAATTTTCCTTTTCAATTTGTTTGATACGTATAGTATAACACTGTTCATGTTTTATTCATGTAGAAAATTGTGACATTCTAAGAAACTCATAAAAGGCCAGCAATAATTTGAAAATGCTAGTTATTAGAAAGGTTAAAAAAAAAAAACTCATGCAAAATGTCACTCCTGAGGAGATACAAGACTGTAATATAGACAACTTCCCCAAACAGCAATAAAAGCCTATCTATTAAAGATAAAACAATCTGTGGTTAAATCAGGAAAACCCACAAGCATTCAATTAATAGAGAATAACTCATTGAACATCAATTAGGTTATTTAATTTTTTCCAATGAGACAAATCATTTGATTCCAATTAACATTTTACTATAAACATCCTTAATTGATTACCCGCCAATTTAAGGGTATATGCCAAGGATACAAGAACACTATTAAATGCATCCGTTATGAAAATACTTATTTAAAAAATGATAATGGAGAGTTAATAACTTTACTTTTACAAAGTATGCAAATAAAATATTGTTGATATGATTACTGCTAAGGCCTCAAGACTTTCTGGTTTTATAAAAAGAATTGTCCGATGCAATAACCCCGTTTCCCTGATGTTACTTTTTAAGACCCTTTGTAAACCTATACTTGAATATGGAATCCCGGCATGGTACCCTTTTCAAATTAATCACATTATTTCTCTTGAAAAAGTTCAACGCAAGTTTACGGGGGCCTGTTTTAATTATGATCCTACTTTTAATTATGCTGAACGTTTATTCCTCCTTCAGATTCCACTTATTTCTGACCGTTATAAATACCTCCTTCTTTCTTTTGTATCTGTCTCTTATACACATCTAGATGTGTATAAGAGACAGGTGCATGACTGCACACCATTTTTATTAATTTTTTATATTGTACATATATGAATTGTGGATTTTTTTTGCTAGAACCAATTGTTATAAATTTACTGTTTTTAATTATTTTCCTTATTATGGAATGACCTACCTCCAAATATTAGGGAATGTGCAATTAATTCCACAAAATTTAAATATGTACTTAAGCAATATTTTTTTAATTAAATCATATTAAATTAATTAAATTATATTTTTACCTTAATGGAATTGTAATTATCTTTGTAATATTTTTATTAATTTTTTATAAATTGTACATATATGAATTGTGAATTTTTCAGATTTTAATGTTTGTCTTTTTAATGTTTTGGAGAGCCTTTAGATAGTGATTAATTTCGCTTTTAGGTAATCCTCAGGCTTTTTGTTTTTGTCATTTGTTTCTCTTATCTATTGTACTGTATTGTCTTGCCTGGAAATAAATAAAATAAAATAAAATAAAATAAAACGCTTCAGGTTATTTTCGGGCGTCTTGCACACACAAAATTCGCGGGGCATCTCCCAGGACTCCCTAGTGTAGTACTATCATACTCAAATCCGGTTTAGATTTTATCACTAGATATAGTTCACTGTGAACACATCTAATGGTAATAATATGTTAAGACTTATATAGTGCTTCATGCCAACCAATCCTCTATTAGGGCTTCACATTATTACTCCCGGCGGCCTGGTCATTCAAGCACATATATAACATATACTTTAGCTCCCTGGGAAGAATTCCGTAATGTTGTGTAGAGTTTCTCAGTGCATTTTGTGTTTGACCTACCAGGTACCCACTTGTACTCCTGGGTAAAGAAAGACAACGATAGGTAAAGTGAAATGCATAGCAGAGAGGAGCTTTCGATTTGTGCGACGACGTGACGCTAGAACAGAATCACTCATGCGTGACCGTCTTACCTGGCATCCTACGTTCTCTGCATACGTAGATTTGGCCAAATTGCATTCCAGAATCTACTCAACGAGGTTACCTTAACGTTCTCGCATGAGCACGTGACTTTTAGTGACGCCATTACGTTCTACGTCCTACTGTCGCCGTGCAATCTAAATAACTATACGTAATTTTATGTGAAGCACGCTTTTATTTTTAAAATGATTAATAAGTTATAAGTTTGTATTATATTAATAGATTTGCTTACACATGCTGCATATCCTCTTCATGATACCTTGATAATTGTTCATCTAATGACATGATATATTTTTCACGTTGTTGGCACATTTGTTTATAGGCCGACTCACGGTCTTTGATCTTGCTCAGCTCTTTCCGTGACATCCTAAAATATGCCACAAAAAAAAATGAAATATATGAATACACTCATACTACAATGTGTAGCTACATGTTTTTCTCATAGACAAATTGTTTCTTGGAATTATTATTGTTTCTCTGGTATTCTATGTCAACAAGCATTTATCAGTCAGTGTGAAGATGATACCAAAATTGTACCCATTATTAACACTCTTCGTAATGAGGCTTGATTTTTAACGTTTATTCTGTGAGTGAAAAGTATAGTTTGATAGACCTTAATTAACATACAGTTAGGCTAGAAAAACAGTCTCATGCTATAGTCTCTAATTTTGAAATGCATCAAATCTGTTTTCAATTGTGAACAAAAAAAAAAAAATTGCAAAAATAAATCCCTTTAGGACATGCGACAAACTTATCTTTTCTTAGGTGTGACAGTAAAATTTAACTTATAAAAAAAGAATACAGAAAGGTGAACGATGTATGTGTCAGGAGTGTGCATCACACACTTTACTAATTGAATATAATTGAGCGGTAATTTTATCAGAGCGTCATCAGGTTTTATCTGTATGTCACTCGATGAACATATATTAAAGCATTATTCTTATGATGAATATATATAAATCAGAGCAATAAGTTGGTCTTATGGAAAAGATTGACATCAGATTAATTTATACTATTTTATACATCTATTGTTAAGAGATTATATAATTTACATGCATGTAGTAAAATTTAGTTTATTTGAAAATTCAGTCAAGAATAGCGTCATCATTTTACCAACTATGCAGACAATACTTTTTTGGTACCTCCGGCTATGTTGTGATATTTATCATTGCTCCGTCATATTGACCGTCGCTAAACAATTTTTGCCCATTTAGATGATCATTTTTAATTGTATGAAGTGAAAATGAAACATGGACATTATTGTTGATGGTGTTAAGTGGTTGCTATTGTTGTCATCATTTAACTTCAGGAAAACAATATGTTACTTGATTACATTTTAAATATTTTAACAATTTATTAAAGCAAAAAAAGTATTTTGTGGTAATCTCACTACAACGATCTCCAACTTTTATTTTGAACTAAATTTTAGTTCACATCAACTTGTGATTGTTTCTGGCTTTTGCAACCCTTAAAAAATTCTTTGAAGATTACAGTATTTCTGTGATCAGTTGCGGATCCATGAATTTTAAATAGAGGGAACCCAGAGAGGGATTTTCATGATATATACACCTTAGCTTACTCCCCCCCCCCCACTATGGTTGGGGCTGAGGTAAAAAAAATGTATGATTATGGTATGTCTAGATGGCCGGAAATGGCACTCTCTGACTTTTTAGAAGAATTTTCTTTTTTTCACCATTTGCTAAATTTTGAAAATTAGTGGAAAGGGCCAGATCAGCTTCCCCCTCCCTTTGAAGCCACCAACGATGAATAATTTAACCAATTTAAAACATCATACCTTAATTCCTTCTCCATTTGTAAGACTCTTAACACAAGCTCTTCCTTGTCTAATGCCAACAGGTATTCTCTATCAATCTTTTCCCCCGACTCTGTATAAATGCTGAAAAAAAAAAAAACCATAACATTAGTTTAAACATCATATTAATCAGTCTCCAGTACAGTTCACTGTAGTAGTGTCAGTGCCATTATTAATACTGTTAACTGTTTTAGTTGTTACCACAGTTGTTTGTGTTAACCCTGTCATTACTACACTTGGTTATGGTACTACTTTTTTGATAGTGTTTTGACTACAGCTGTGTTACCACTGCTGGTGATGATACCGGATAACGTCTCGACTGAGTTGCTTCGTCATCAGGATACTAGACCTTGCAAATGTTAAGAATACTGTAGTGGTCGGTAGTGTTCACACTATTGGTGGTGGTACCAATTGGTTATGTAACCATTGTACCACTAGTGGTTGTGTTACAGCTGATCATCTTATCACTGTTCCACTAGTAGATGTAACCACAGTTGACTAAGTTACCACTGTACCACTAATGGTTGTGTTACCAGTTGAATTTTACCATGCTTGGACTTTAACCACTGTTTTTCATGTTAACGCTGTACCACCATTGTATATGGTACCAGGAACAAAAAATCACATACTCATCTAATATATTCTCTGCCATCTTGTTATGTCTTTTGGTACAGTACAGCTCTGAAAAAGATACTGGCCTTACGATATCATAAGACTGTTCATGGACAAAGTAGGTATTCGATCAAGACGCAAGGACCGTTTTATGAGAATGCCAACATAAATTAATTAAATTAGGATTACATGGCATATCCCATGCAAACCTCCTACAATGAAAATGGAATATTCCAAATATATGGACACCTTTGCACATTCCACATTATGTAGTCATTTAGGTTGGATATTTATGCAGCAATCCCAGTTGGTTGCTGAGCTTTACACATTTAGCCCGTAATCCCAGGCTCACAGGCTCAACCTTGCAAGAATAAACGATATTTTTACAAGTTAAAACCGCCCCTTGCCTCATAATGAGACATGCTTAAATACCCTTTGCTAAACTACGATAATAGGCATTCAATATTTACACATAAATTACAAATCTGACTACAATCTACATTAAATTTTCACACGAGATTTATGAATACATTAATGAATAATTAAATTTATTATAATTATCAATAAAATCTGAATACTACCTAACCAATATATATGTATAAAAAAATATGTATGCAGCGATTAAATTCAACGCAAAACAGTACATGCATCATCAACATTATTCAGTTTTAAGCCGGAGTGTTGATAGGCTGATATATAAACTAGGCTGTAAGATACTTGTATTAGGCTCTGCTTTAAGTCAAAGGCCGGCAAACAGAATTAACATTGGAGACAATGATAAACTCCTTGAAGCTTGATATACCCATATTTGGTAAGGCTCTGTGTTTTCAGGCCATCAACCATTGCATCTAATTTGGGGTTTACTAGGATTCAATAGGGGTACCAAAGAAGGTTTCATCTGAGGCAAAAATATGAGCATTATAATTTTGAAATCATGCAGATGGGAAAGATTATAAAGATGATTTAAATAAATGATGAATTTATATATTAATGAATATTTATTAGCATGAATCATTAATATTCATGACAATGCACATCTGATGAGTTGGAAAACTTATCAGTATTGACAAAAAATCAGAAATAAAATATTAATGAATACTAGTAAAAATTAAAAGAGGGTCACAGGGAATGGTTGTATTATGAAAGAAATCATTAACAAATTAAATATTATTAATGAATATGAATAAATGCAAATTATGCATGGTTGGCAATGTGATGTACTTCCTGACATTTGTTCTATATTATGATTTTGTAATTAGGAATTTTTATATGATGCTGGATATAACAAATCAATTAGATAATAAAAATGCATTGTCACTGTTTCGCTTTTTCAAGAAATATGTTCATATGAGACTGGCCTTCTTCATTATTGGCCTTTACCGTGTATTTTTCAAATACTGTAGTGCATAATTGTCTCCAAAATAAAGTTAATTGATTGATTAAATGTTGAATGGACACTCAACTAACAGCAAAATAAAAATTAAATGACGAATAAAGAGTGCTACTCATATACATGTCGCATTATAAAATAAGGCTTAGTTAGTATACCGAAAATGCAGGATTTGAACCCAAGACCCTAGAATTTGAAGATAGGAATTTACCCAACAAGCTCCAGCATCACTTTATTGTTAAAACAATTCTTTTTGACATAGTGCCACAAGCAAACTGTTCCAGAGAATGATTGATTGACATGATTCAGTAAATATCTTGATAAATGCGTGACTAGTCCGTTTCAATATGAAGAAATGACAAACACATCTAGGTCCCACAATTTTGCCCACAATTCTGTTTATTGCAATTTGTCTGCTTTGCTCAATCACAAAATTCATGCCTACAATTATCATTCACCAAATTATAAACTCAGTTCACATTGTAGATCATTTGTCTAGTTTTATTAATCTCAGTAATTATACTTATCAGTCTTAGTTTTATCATCATTATGACTTTCTTAATGGCAATAAATTAAATCTGAAGGGAATGCTTGCATAAGGAGAAAAGAATTGCTGGGGGCACCCACAGGAATAACAAATTAGAAAAACCTACATTGATCATCTCATAGGCATCTCCTTTCTAATAGTAATAGGTTGATTTCGGATCTATGCCTCACCTGATCAGTTATGTATGATTCTCTAGTTTTCCTTAATTCTCTGTAGTAAAGAAGTGCTTCAGAATCTGTTATACTGATTCAAAGAATTCTTAAATATTATAAATGCCATATAAAATTTGACGTCATTGAGTGACGTCATTGAGTCGTTGGGAAAATTATCAATTGATTATAGCTATTTACAGGGATCCATAAAATGCTGTTAACAAGTGATATAGTGCCAATACTGAAAAGCTTTTTCCATTTAAAAAAAAAGAATAATGACATGTTTCAAATTCTGCCAAATTTATATTACATTTGTTCCATATGTCTGTCAATGTGGTTTCAATCATTGTTATCATAATGATCTTTGAGACATAGGGGCCGAGGAAGATGAGCTAAGTGATAGGTTTTCTGCTGAATGTTGCAGACTTTATCCTACTGAATCCAGATTCGTCAATGTGGCAACTCGCTTATGCGATTCTATGTACAAGGTCTTGATATTTAGGTTATCTCTCAGATGATTATACAGACATATTTTCCATGAGAAAGAGAATTCGATTTTTTTTTGGGCAAATTTAGAATGTTTTTTACATTACAGACTGGCATATTATATTTATATGTTTATTTTTCAAGTACATGCACTTTAATTTCTTCTTGTACGAAAAGAGATGCCTAAACAGCTAGAGTAACGCAAGCCCAGCCACAAAAACAGAGATATGGCCAGGACAAATTAATCAAATGCTGTACCGTACATTCAAATTGTGTAGCTAGACAGGTAATGGACCGAGTCTCTGCTTCAACATACAAGCCTCCTATGGAAAAATACTGTACTGTACCTCTGCCAGCTTTTTGTCAGTCAACTTTTTCTGGGTTTATTTGTCTGTTTCAGGCAAGACTTTTTTATACCTTGTTATAGCAAACCCGCCAAATGCAAATATTGATGATTTCAAATTAAATTAAAATTTAATTTTCGCCAATTAGCACACCTGCCACTACGAAAAATGGAAATTTCAGAAAAAAAGTAAACATATTTCTTTATTTTTATTAAGCCCTTTGCTGCCTTGTAATCTCCAAAGATAAGATATGTATATTTCTTCCTAATTATATAAATTTGAAGCATTATAACCATCCCATTTTACATTCACCAATAAATTTTATTTTTATTTTCTCCTCCATCTGGGTGTTTTTGGCAAAACTATTTGCTAAATAAGAACACAAAATGTTATTTATATTTTTATTCCGCCTCCTCCTATGATCATTAAAAAATAAAAAAGTCTCGCCTTAGCAAAATTACATACAAAAACTAATGATTAGATCATCATAAAATTCAGCTGCAGTAAGAAATGATTAAATTTTAGGGTGAAAAGTTCAAGGTTAAGATTACGGAAAGTAAAAAACTCACATTAATAAAGTGATCTGGTTGTTCAGATGTATGCACTTTATCGAATGTCAACTCTAGTTATTAAAATTGTGTTTACGTTATCAGAAGAGAAGACTAAAGTTTTCTTAAGGTTTTTACTTCAAAAGATGAATTACTCGCTGCTTACATTTCAATGATGATATAGGATTTACGCAGGCTAAACAATATTTGTGTACAAGTTTAACTCACTCTATATCACTGACTTCCGTGCTAGTGGTACACAACGATAAAGTATCCGTGCTTGTGGTAGACATGGCTAGTGATATACTGGCATCATCATCGGTGTCCAGTGATGGAGCTGAGAGGTTGCTACTGAAGCTAGATCGCGGGATTGATAATGATGATGGTGTACTGCACAAAGATGAATGGCTTCCGTCTGTGATGAAAAAAATTAGGATTATTTATTGTAGTTGATAACAGTTTGCACACATTAACCAAGGCTGGTTCAATACTGTACATGCTTGCAGCATGTACTGTACACAATGATAGGGTTCTGATGCTAAAAAGTATAATTAATATAAAACCAGAACGTTACAATATATATTTTCTGTTTGAATGACAGTTTACAGACAGATCTGTCAGTTAGTTGATACAATGGTGGTCATTGTGATGAAGACGATTATGATATGATGATGAAAATAATGATTATTATGATGATAATAAGACTAGATGATGATGTGGCTGCAATAACGATGATAATGATAATGACTAGGCTAAAAACATGAAGATGATACTGTTGTCAATAATGATGATTATGATGAGACGATGATGATGATTGATTGACGACAATGATGTTGCTGATGAGATGATGATTGATTATGATGATGAAAATGATGATGATTGATGATATGATGATGACTGGTGAAGATGATGCGATGATGATTGATTGATGATAATGATGTTGCTGATGAGATGATGATTGATTATGATGATGAAAATGATGATGATTGATGATATGATGATGACTGGTGAAGATAATGCAATGATGATGATGATTGATTGACGACAATGATGTTGCTGATGAGATGATGATTGATTATGATGATGAAAATGATGATGATTGATGACATGATGATGACTGGTGAAGATGATGCGATGATGATGATGATTGATTGACGACAATGATGTTGCTGATGAGATGATGATTGATTATGATGATGAAAATGATGATGATTGATGACATGATGATGATTGGTGAAGATGAGATGATGATGATGATTGATTGACAACAATGATGTTGCTGATGAGATGATGATTGATTATGATGATGAAAATGATGATGAGATGATGATGATTGATGACATGATGATGATTGGTGAAGATGAGATGATGATGATGAAAATGATTATTGGTTATGCTCATGAACAGATCTTCAAACATAAGGAACAAATTGAGTACATTGAAGTTAGCAAGTTTCAAAATTCAATTGATAAATTTTGATCAAATATAACATGGTAAACAAGATGACATGTACTTGAATAAGTAGAAATATAAAAATATTAATTCTAGACAACATTTCCTAATATTCTGTCACAAATACCACCAAAGTATACTTCATTGAGCTAAAAAAGCAACCATGCTTCTGGAGCTGAACTTTTTTTTGGCATACACTACATGAGCAATTATCCTTAAGGTCAATAATATGATATCTAGGTAAAAATGGATATTTTACATTTATTGGCTAGCTGATAATTGTATTGCACTTATTAAAGGAATCTTATAAATTCAATGATGAAAATAAAATGTCAGTAACACTAGTCAAGGGGTATAACGTGTGCTATATTTGCAGTTTTCTTCTATTTTTGTTGTGACATACATGTGTAGATCGTATTTGTTTATTGTTTTGTTTGTTTTCTTATTTTTCTACTGTTTTATTGCATTAGTTAGTTAGCACACTTTGCATGGGTTTGGTTTTATGAAAGCTTTACTCAGGGAATGTTTTTGACTTTTTGTGGAGAGTCGCTTACAGCGCTTCATAACTGAAAAGAAATGCTAAATACAAGTAACAAGTAACAAACAGAACATAATGATCTTGATATTACTAATTTATCTATGTTGAGATAAATGTGCAATTAAATTAAATTAAATATTTGAATTATTATATTTTTTTAAATATAAGTTATTACATTTTAATTAAACATTGGAACACATGGAACTTGAATGTACACATTTAAATATTTTCCGTAGAATGCTAACATTAATAAACTGAAACTTTAGAACATACCTGTAATGTGCAATATTAAGTAATTGCTTTTTGGTGTTTTTTTTTGTGGGGAGGGAGGTTTATTTATATTTTACATAGCTGTTTCCTTCTGCAGGAAGCCCATACTCAAGGAGGCTTTTCATGCCTCTCATCATACATTTGAAATTTTTGGATTACTTTATAATTAATATATTACACAAAACAGATCTGTGTGAAATTATCAACAAGTATAAATGTGGAAGGACATAATTGCTGACAACTTTCTAATATCTTTTACATCATCCTATAGGTATTTGACCTTTTTTATTACTCAAATCAGTTTTTTCTGCTGAAGAATATTATAGTATTCCCTCATTTCCTCAAACATAAAAATACAAATCTAATCTTGCCAGAACCTTTGGTGCATAGTGGATTTTCTTGGAGAATATTCAAACTGTTGACACCTGACCTTTTCAATAGTTCTTTTAATAATAATAGTACTGTATCTAGTAAACACACTCAGCAGATACCTTGTGTATTGTGATGACACCTGTGTAATGAGCATTATATAAATGCTCATACTACTTAATTAATTAATTACTTAACATACACATTAAAAATACAAATCTATTCTTGCCAAAGCCTTTGATGCATAGTGGATTTTCCTAATACAGAATATTCAAATTGTTGACACCTGACCTTTACAATAGTTCTTTTAATAGTACATAGTAAACACACCCGGCAGATACCTTGTGTATTGTGATGACACCTGTGTAATGAGCATTATATAAATGTTCATATTATTTAATTAATTATTTAACACACATTAATATTAATGTAATTTCTAAATAAATCATACTTTGTTTCTGGAAAAAAATTATTGTACTATATTTAAAAAAATCAAAACATAATATGAAAAAAAAATCATATTTTGCCAGAACTATTATTATTCAAATCATCGACCCATGATTTTTCAATACAGTAATAACAAACATATAAACACATTAATGTAAATGTTTTTACTATATATTTTCTAAAGAAAATCAATCAGAAACTAGGAAAATTAATTGCAATTTTCAAATAAATATTAAATATAAAAAAAATTATTTAAATATTGTTTTGCAAGAATTTCATTGTTGGCTTGAATGATTGTACTATTACTTGAAAAACATGTTCAAAAACAATTTAATAAATTAAAAATTTAATATGAAGACTTCTTAAAAATGGTACCACTAAATTCAAATTTAAGTTTCATTAAGGTAACACACCTATGACGGCTGATCATTTCCCCATCTCACTTTTGCTTCGAAAATAGCTCACCCTGACCTCAAGTAATTAGCAATCTCAATTTCTCTCCAATGAGTATCTGTTCCCACATGATACATCATTCTTATCTCTCCTAAATGATCACAGATTAATCATAATTTGATTGAATTATGAATCATAAACATCACCAATCAGAAACATAATCAAATCTGTCATATAAATAATCACGATGTATTTGTAATTTTCACCAAGAAGTATGTGCTAACATTACGCAAAGTAATTTAAACTGAGTAACAGGAATGCGCTCAATTTATTAGCTTATCTTCAAGGATATTCACAACAAAAAAAACCTGAAGCGTTATTTTTTTCCTAAGCTTTTAGGCTTTAGATAGAATAAATAATATCTTTAGAATATCATTATGACATAAGGATGGTCCCAGAGGGAATTTTGGAGGTGCAGGGGAATCACAGTACCAATCTCTGGGTGCAACCAGCACTCTAGACCAATGACTTGGCATATTGTATAATAAAATATCGCATACCTTTAAGACTTGAGCAAATTACATCAATTTTAAATCAACACAACAGTAGCTTCCTGTATGAAATGCATCATATGCCAAAAATGACGCTATAAATCCCTAAAAAATCAATCACCACCATACATATCTCTAAAACTAATTATTCTACTGTAAGATCAACTAACTGTGGCATTATACAGTATAACTTCAATTGTGAGCAAGTACTGGAATTCTAGTACTGCATTACTATGTTATACTTTACACAACTATAGCATAAACAATTAAAAAAAAAATATACAGCGAAAGGGTACTGTAGTCTAGTATTGTATGTATAAAGGGGCCATTAGAGTTGGTCCAAACTACTTTTTAAAGACCCTAACAATATTGATAACTTTTTGTTTGGTTTTCTTTTAATTTTTTTAAAGCAGTGCTCCTTGAAATTCAGGTCTTCCCTGACGGGAGTCTAGGTTTCCCCGGCAGAGTCCTGTGCTCCCCCAAAATCCCATCCTGGTGCTGTTACAGTACAGCCTAGTACCACCAGCCCCTACTCCTTGCACCTCAATAATATTATTTACTTGTATCCTGTTTTTGTTTTAGTTAATTGACTGTAAGCCTACTTAAAATTTTACTTATGTTGTTAATTAAAGACACTGGTTTTTACATTGAACTGTCAGTAATTGTTTTAAACGCTCACTTTAAAGTGAAATTAATTGCCTTTGTTCTCCAGAGGTGATAACCTATTTCATGATATTATTTTCAAGAGTCACTTTCCTGTAGCGAGATAAAATGCCATTACAGTTTAAAAACAATTTTCTTTTTTTGACTTTTTTTTATTAACTTTTTATAATTATTAAAATGGCTTTTTGGTTATCTTTGTTTTATTTAATTGATCTGTAAAAATTTACCTTGTTCCTAAAGCTTGTTCCTTTAATGTAATATCAAACTTTTTAGAGCAATTGTAAGTTGCGACCCAAAAGTGGTTCACCAATGGAATCACAAAGTCTTGACAGAAATCACAAAAAATCAGCTAGCTCAACTCAGTCTCTAAATATTAGAGTCATTATTATAAATTGAAGCATCAATCTGCATATGTCGTTTTCATTTGCCATGATACAAAGTATGAACCAGCTACCATCATCATTGTTCATTACAATTTTGTCATATTTAATTTTGTTTTTGCATTTTTTTTCTTATGTCAATCTAAATAAAAAAATCCCAGTCCTGAAATGGTACATTAAGGCTACAGGTAGCTTTCCTAATTAGGCATCTATGGACAAGGGGTCAATGGATTGCAATACACATCTGAATTTCCTACTGCTTCATCAGTGGAAAAGAAATGCTGTTCTAGAGTTAAACGTGATAATTTATTATAAATTTCTCCATTTGTACTGATTCTGGCAATATTCCATA